ACCAAACTAATACGATATACTGTTATTGCAAAATGTGATGAGACTATGTATTAATTTGCATCATATACTAATAACTATGTTAAGTTCAATCATAAAATAAAATATAAAACATGTAAAATATTATTAATTATTGTATAATTGTAATAATTGTATTAATTTATTGTTAAAATGTTTCATATGACAAAATTGTTTACATATTATATGAATTGTACGGGAAACAGATGGTAAGTCTCTGACTTATCTGGACCCTAAATTAAAGAAGTTAATAAAATTACAAATTAAAAAATATTATTATTATTATTATTATTATTATTATTATTATTATTATTATTATTATTATTATCATCATCATCATCATCATCATCATTATTCTTATAAGTAGTAGCATTAAACTGACAATAACATCTTGAAATGATAAATTATCTGTTACTAAAAATAATTACTTACTGTATAAAATCCTAATCTATCCGTCGTTACCGTCGTCGTCTTCTTCGTCATCGTCATCATCATTATTATCATTATTATTATCATTATCATCATTATTATTATTATTACAATTATTATTAGCATTATCATTATTATTAAACAAAACACCCGAAAGGTATAGAGGTTCCCTGAAATTAGATAAACAAATAAATATGGGAATGGCAACCGTGAAGAAGGAAGAGAGGAAGGCAAACTATGGAGTGGGATGTCATGGAGGACAAAAGTTTAAGATATGGAGACTGGGAAAATAAGATATGCAGAGGTGAAAAACAGCGAACTCTTTAACGAGAAGAGCCAAAGGAAAAGTCTAAAAATTGTAATTAATTTGTAAATTTATTATCCTGATTGGCTCTATGTTCTTATTTCAATGGTGGATGTTTCTCCAATTCAATACTTGCTTTTAATGATAATGCAATCTTGTACCACGTTTAAAAACTGATTTTAATACTTTCTGTATTAAACCAATTATCATATTTATTTAATAATTTATGTCAAAAACAGTTAAAAACTGCATGTGATGTGCAATGGCGAGAAGTTAATTTGAAGTTAGATTTATATTTTTAAGAATTATTAAGAATTCACTTTCATTTAACAGTATAGATTCATCAGTGAATAAAGACAGAACACAAACACATAAATAAAAGAGACACATAATTGATTTCAAGGAGCAAAGGATATATCAACAACATTATACCTATTTAATTATCCTATGAAATGTATAAAATGTCATGAGAAAGAAAAACTCAACAGGTGAACTAAACAAATGTAATGCTATTTTAATTGTCACATACATGTTTTGTCAAAGAATACACATACATCTCTCATGCCATGTTTTAGTTGAGTAATAGAAATATTGCGAATTGCTTTCAGCACTATCATTTTCACAAGAACATAATTGCCTTGCCCAAAGTGGCTTCCAATCAGATAATTGTTGACTAATTTTTGTAAATAAAATAATAATTTAATATTTCACAATTAAAAGTTGGAAATTTTATTTAAATTCTATTCCAGATACTTGCATTTGCTGATGTTATATTAATTTAATATTTCTTAGACAACATACTTGACGGTTGAGAGCGAGTCATTCCCTTCAGACCACCATGCAATATTTCTATACTGAAGTGTTAAAGTTTATAAATGTGCACATTTTACACGCTGCATTGCACTAATCGCATTACATTTTAACTTCAACTTTCACTCACCAGACCCTCAAAACATCCCTGAGGATAGGACATTAGAAAAGGAAGTAAAACTTGCAGAAGAGATGTTTTAAAATGCCATTGACACCTAGTATGTGAAAAATGAAAGCATTACTTCATGAGAATTATACTTATACATAACATTTAACAACAATATTTACAGATATATAACCTTCAGTGCAGATCTAGGAAAAATAAGGGAATTTTTTCTTCTTTAAATAAAATGATTTTATTGCAATGTAAAATGTATTTCACTATTTCCTTATTCATACTTAAAAGAATTTAACAGTAGCTGAGATAACATGTCACCCAAAAGTTTCCATGTCAGTGTAATATTAACAACTTACTTGAAACAATTTTTCACTGGAAGTATTTACAATATAAAACTCAGGAAAAACAATTAGAAATATGTCAAGTTGGGAAAAACACTAGATCCTCTCGCATGTTGATAAGGAATGCATGATTTGTTCCACTCTACTAGACGATTTGTTCTGATTCTACATTAATAACAATCTGTAATATGTACTTCAAAAACAAGACTGGTAATATGTCATGATTAGAAAATTGTAGTAGCTACTACTTCAAAAATTCTCATATCTCAAAACAAATTAATTATTTGAATGATGAATAATTTTTGGATTGAATTGATGAAATTATTGATGTTTCAGCAATTATTTTTAACAAATATTTCTTTTCTGAATACAAATCTGGCTCATTGAATTTGAAATCCCTCTTGGCTTTAAACATCCAAAGTAAAATTTCATGATACTACATTTTTGCAAACATTAAATATTTGTAATAATAATACTGCATTTCATTCCAGAAAGGAAAGCACAGATTAACAGGTTACCACAGCTGCTGTAATAAGGTTTAAAAGTGTAAAAGAATAAGCATTTCTGACAGAAGGAATGACTCTGAAACACACAAGGTGTATTCCAAACAAGTTTGACATACTTGTGCAATTTCTCCAAACAAAGAATGTTGTTTCCTCAAGCATAATTTTCAACAGTTTTCTTTTCATTTGGTTATGGAAACAATGTTTACGCATGTAAAGAGAAACAAGACCATAAGATAGTTTTCATCCAGTGCAAACAATTATTCGAGATGCTTGAGCAGTCATAGTAGGAAGGTGTATCAACATGATGGTGATTGAACACCAGACTAGAAAACAACCCGTAAAAATCTAAGGAGAAAGGTGTGTCACGATATACTTTTACTTGATTTTTCATTACAAGGAGATCCATTGCCACTGACAACAATGACTTCTTGTAGTGTGTTAGATGCACATGTGTTGGCCTCTTCTGACGAAGAAACTGAATGCACTTCTTTTGGTGTACTGGTTTGTTGAAGGTTTTCTCCAGGGACAGAATCATGTTTTTGGTCTATGTCAATGATTCCTGTCCAGTCTGCAGACTGCCATGAAGAGTCCTGGGAACGTGTATTCAAGTGTTCACTACTGCTATTGGCCACTAACATAACTGAATTAGAGCTACACTCTGGAGAGGATACCGGTAAATTTAATGAGATCTTAGGGATTTTCTTGGCATCATCGACTACTTTTGTTGACAGATCTTTCTTGTCTAGCTCATCTTCTTCTTGCATTTCCATTATAGATGCAAAGCAAGAAGAACCTTCACTCTCAGCAGATGTCATGTCGCTGATTCTCACTGTGGGCGTCATTCTATTTAGGAAAATTGGAGTGAGTTTTTCAGAAGTAGCACCTAGCGAGTCAGATTGACAATGTGAAAATGCAATATTTGGTAAACTCTGACTCAGTGATGTTTTGTTACTTATAAATAAACTTGTTCGCTTTACAACAGCAGGTGTTGCCTTGACTCCTTTGCGATTATACAAAAGTTTCATTTTCTTAAAGAAACCTCGCTCCCAAAAAGATCTACTTTGCCACCGCTTGGCTTCCAATTCTGAACCTGTCAAACTTAATGTGCTGACAGTAGCTCTCCTTTCTTGGAACGGTAAACTTTTAGGGTGTAAATCTTCTGTGCCAATGTCAAGTCTATTGGGTGGTACAGGACACCCTTTTCTACTTTCATTATTTTTTATTCTGTAATGCAATGGGCACAATTCTTGAGAAAAAGATAAATTGGACCCACTATCTGCACTAGTGTTCACAAAGTGTTCACTATCTCCACTCACAGTACGCCTAAGCAAAGCTTGACGGTATTCCATTTGCTTTCTGCACCATAAACATTGTGTATCAGGATTTGATTGACTTAAAAATTCTATTTCTTCTAATGCAGTTTTACTGGGAAAAAAGTAATTAACATTTGATGGATCAGGTGTCATAGGTAGAATTTCAACAGTCTGCCTTCTCAGACTGCCAACATCTCTCCCTGGAACGTTATTCACCATGGGTTTCCAACGTACCCCTTTTTTCCTGCCATTATTAGCAGAATGTTGTCTTTTAACTAGAATTAACTTAGGACAGCTTTTCACTTTTGCCATGCAGACACTTCTGAAATCTTTCTTAAAAGTAACATATTCTGTCTCTTCTTTCGGTTTACATAGGTAATGTTCATACTGCTTTGGAATTGATGGCGTGTCCAACGAGAGATGGGACAAATGAGATGAGTAGTTGCAAGTCACATCAAGGCTCAAACTCAGTCGGTTGTTCTGAATAGCTGGAGTATTAACACCACCAATTTCTCCGACAGCACTCTCACTACTAAAACAATCTCTTGCCGTAGCAAGTCTTTCTCTTATTTCTCTCCTGCTAATGCCAATTCTATCACCATCACTGTCATCACTGCCTCCAGCACCTTCACCACCAACTCCACCACATCTGCCAACAGCACCTTCATTTCCACCCCCTCGGCTCACACCACTACTAAAGCTGTCCCCTCTGCTCCTCCTCACAGGAGCCTGCACAAACGGGTCACAGCTGCGTTCCTCCTCGGGTGTTCTGTCTGCACTTGCTCCAAAATTCAATGAAGAGTTGTAGCAGCTCTGCATTTCAATGGACTGTTCTGAGTTGCGAAAGCTTACATCAGAGCGACCTAATGTAGAGGAACTAGGCCACCCCAGCATGCTTTTGGCCACAAAAATTGGCTTCTTAGCTGGAACACTCTCTGATCGAGAGAGCGGTCTTCCAGATATTCCTTCTCTGCCACTTCCAGAAGCTCTGAAAACATAAATTTCCATCATTTAATAATACAATTTGAAGTAATATAATACCTATATTGCTCTGGTCATATAATTGTCAATAAAATGTGTCAGTAAATATCCCAAAACACTGTTTTAAAACAAGGAAATAAAAAAAATCTAGGACAATATTAACTTAAAATGATTTATTGAATAAAAAATATTTCATTTCAGAAAATCTGAAGCATTTGGATTTTATCATGTGCCTAGAGCAGTTTGCAATCCACCAAAATGCTTCTGCTGCTGTTACTTCTTCTACAATCACTATTATTCCAACTTCAAAGCTGGTTGTAATAATGATGTTATAACAAAAACAAAAATAAAACAAAACTGTAGAAAGTATTACTAGTTAATTATTTTGTTACATCTGAATGTTAATAAAACTAAAAATCTTTTCTTTGAAAAAGTTTCATGCTGGTGTAGTTCAATAGATAAACCAGCATTTGGGAAATATTTAACTTTATGAAAACCAAAAAGCTAAATATATATGCAGCTTGTGTTTCCATTTTCTAATTGTGAAAAACAAATTATAAACCTATCAGGAAAGGTAGTTTTGTATTTGTGATGCAATGGTGTTGTAACTAACTACAGCATTCATGTAGACAGCTTAACCATTTGAACTCAAAGTTACTGAACATCAATTTCATCCTCTAGGGGAGAATTCGATAGAGAGTTTTTACAACTCCCTTTTGTCCCTTCAGGTTCAAAGCAGAGCACTTCCAACATTGGCCAAAGATCATGGATCACCTCCCTTCCCAATTCTATTTTTACAGTTAGGAGCTGACTAGTCCACTTCACTGGACTCTGTGACAGAAATCTTTACCGGTGCTGCAATCACAGAAGACCAACAGCCTGCAAAAGCTTACCAAACAACTAGGGACAAACAAAAATTTGAATGCATTACTCTTCAAAAGTAATTACTTTCAAAGAATAAAAAACTGTGTGGCCTTTTTTATTTCTCTTTGAACCTTTCCACCTAAGCCTCACATGGGAATGATCTCTTTGTTGCAAAACTGGCCTCTTCACACAATCTGTGCAGGGCTCCATCCACCCATGTAGCTTCACTATGCGAATGTTTTGTTGATCTCTCCTCTTGCTTGTAATCGTAAGAGTAGAGGTAAGGGAGAGTTGCTATTTTGTTAGCAATGCAGAAAAATCATACTTGCAATTCGTTTACCAAAGCAAATAAGTTTTCTATAAATGAGAAATGAAAATAACTATTTTTACAAATATTGCTAATCTTGCAATTTTTAGAATTTATTTTTATTTATTTATTTATTTATGTTAAACTGTTACTCATGTTTCAAACTCAAGAAAAAGCTTATGTAACTCAAGAAAACATGCACAGAAGATCTTTTTCCCCCTACGTCACATACAGTTTTTACTGTTTTTTGACTAAATAAATCTAAATCACCCCTCTCACATCATTCACACTTCGTGGTGATTTTCTTATCCCACAAACCTCTTTTCAATTATACCCCTTCCCATTATTTCCATTCTCTCTGTGCTATTTCCTCAGCTAGGGCCATTGTTATAACACAATGTTTCTTCTTAGCCTTCTATTTATTATGAGTAAATGCAAGGTAAACATAAAGTAACTGCTGACAAATTAAGAAGCAAAGTGTCAATAGATGTTCATGAATTTTTGTACATTTGCTCTATTTTGAATTATAGAAACTCAAACAGCTACACAAAGTTATTCAAATCAAACAGATGTTCTTTGTAATGAAAATGAGCAGTTCTCTTATAAAATACTGAGCAGTTTTGAAGATCCTGACTTTCATTTTGTAGACTTATTATAGAAAAAATAATTCATATAAAGTATAATAAATACCTGCTTGATTAAAAATCTATTGCTTTAATAGAGTTCAATATTTTTCTCATTGAACCTGCTATAGTGTTTAAGTCTTTATGACCTAAAAAGAAATTTGGTTTTGCTTAGTGTCAGAATACTCGCTTTTCAAACAAGAGACATACAAGAGACATTTGTTTGTTTGACACTTTGTTAACCTGTTTCTTATCTAAATCTCTACAAAAGTAATTAATTTTTGTTTGCATTTGCCATAATTTTCTTAAAAATTTTAATTGTTACACATGTAATATAGCTCTGGAAGGTTCAATATTAAAAATCAAGCAAACTAGTATCTAAAGTATTAAGATGTGGATTCTTTACAGTAAAACTCTGTTTTAATATCTACCAATTATGTTTTGATATCACATAGGCAAGCTTGATCGTACCTCCAGAAGAGATGGAAGAACAAAATCAGGGTATGACAGTTCAGACTGGTCTCCTAAGTAGTTAGAGAAGAAGACAATTTTTCATGCGATAATTTTTTCGAATCAAATGTCATGCAATATAAAAAAGCAAGTGTAAAAAAAGATGACATTATAGTCAGTTCACCACTATTGCATAGGGGTAAACAATGCCATAAAAAAGAAAAGATAAGGAAAGGAGGAGAGATAAAAGAAAATACAATATATTATATTACTATAAACGGTGTATGTATATGTGTTTAGAACATACCTTTATGGAATGCATAGCAGTTGGAAGCAAATTGGCTATGATTCAATGATACTCTAAGATGTATATTTCTATATACCAGCCTTTGCATTAAATTCGGATTGGATTGAGCAAACAAATGCAAAAGGATAATGTTGGGAGGATTTGAGCAAATTTCACATATTTGTGACATTGGCATCTAGGAAAAATGACACAAACTAGTGTTATAACAATGCTGAGAAATGAAATTTTAAATAAGCGTTAGGATCTTCTATACCAAATGTGGTAGAGGTTGTCTGTAAATGATGTAACATTAAAGGAGGGAGGGGAGGGAGAAGGCTATGTTAGGCTGCTTTCCATAGGGGGTATTAGTTTGGTGTTATGGAACACATACTTATTTGTTTTAGTTTTCCAATATTTACAGAAATAATCCCTTTATTCAATCTTAAACTAAGACAAAACATTAATTATTTTAAAAAAAATTAAATGTATATTCAAATTAACAAATAAATTGAAAAGTTATGACACATAAATTGTTGTAATAATGTAAATATTTTCCAATCAATGTCATATTAATTGTATAAAAACCTATCTATAGTATATTCAAGAATCCAATTAACAGTCCCATGCAATTCCCAAATCCAGAAAACACCAATGAGAGATCAACACGAGCCCCAAGATTATATTGCAATATAAAACAAGGAACTTTTTTATATTTAAGAAATAATAATACATGCATTTAGCCATATACTACAATCATTTTTTGAAATATTTTGTTTTTGACGTATGGCAAGAGCACATGTATTTTAAATAAAAATTCTAAAAGATGAAGCTCCTTCTCTACATAAGGATATTGGCAAAAAACAATGATGAAGTCTGTTGTT